CTCGTTTCTGCTGTTTGTAACAGATTTTGTAAATCAAAAGTCTGTAACAACAGACACAAAACTAAAAATGGAAAACAGAGTCTATTAGAAAACGTACATTGGACAGGTAACATAAACTAGAAGCACAAGGATACGAGGTTGTTTCAATCTGGGAACATGAATTTAATCATTTGAAACCCACTGATACATATTTAATTAATTTTCTTAAGGATCACTCAGTAGTTCCTCTCCTGGATATATGGGACAGTTTCTATGACAGTAGAGTCAATGCTATTAGATTTTTTTGCAATATGAAGGAAGGTGAAAAGATCAAGCTGACTTTACATCTCTACATCCGTCCATGGACGAATAAGTACTGTGAATATCTGGTTGGTTATGCTATTGTCATAACAACAAATTTTTGAGATGTACACAATTATTTCGATTTCATTAAGTGCAAAATTCTAGCCCTGAGGAAACTATCTTTCTGTTTTACCTCTGAGAAGTAATGGTAAATTAACTGTCCCTCTCTGTAGGACGTGTGTTGATTTAAGAATACCGCCCCCGTGGAATAACTAAGATAATGATACAGCTTTATTGGCACATGGGTTACTGGAAGAGGTGAAAAAACGGTCGAGTGTGGTTATAAGATAATACAAATTGATGAAATTTACCATTTCTCTGAAAGATCCACACAACAATCGGAAGTTAAGCCTCTCTTCAAGGGAGAGTAAAATATTAGATATTTCTAAATCCTTCTCAGCATGTTCTTACATTAACGAATGACAGAAAAATATGTCAGGATATGAAAACACTATCTACAATTAACAAACCAGAAACAAAAACTAACTCTCTGTCTACACCAAAAGACATATTTTAACACCCTACCATACGGCTATGAAGTTAAATTATTTATTTATTTACTTTACTTGATGAGAGGCTGGCCCTTTTTTATACAAAACGATTCATATTGTATATATATTATTATTATTGTAGTTTAAGATGGATTATCCTTTACAACATCCGTTCACTTGCTAAGTGTTAGGTCTAACTGGAAGCAGTAAAACTAACTCAATTTGTTAACAATGTGTTATCAAATTATCGTCATACTTTTATACCCTACTCCAGAAAACATTGTATGGTTCTTTAGTGAACTTCAACAGTTGTATACTAACTTAATGTCAACCATTCCTAACATCTGTTTTGTTAAAGATTTACCTGAAAATTTTCGTGATTATTTGTAACCTGAAAAGCCAAATAATTAGAGTAGAGAAAATAAGGGAGTATCCAAACTTTTTACACGTGGAAGTCACCATTTGAATTTATCAGTGTTTTATATTGTACAGAATATATTTCATCAGGATAAAACATTAGTTTAAACTCTCAATACATAATTTTGTTTAAGAAGAGACAAGTCTCAGCTGATTGTTTTAGCGAGACAGGTGCTTCTGACATATGTCAAATACATTGAAGAAGCTTATCAAGATGCAACTAAATAGCTGTTTGGATATATAATCCTCGATTTGAAAACACAAACTCCTGACCAGTTACGTTTAAGAACTGGTTTATTTTCAGGAGATGATATTGTATTGTATGTGCCAAAGTGATATATATGTCCATACTTTGTGATGACTTCCGCCGTGAAAAATATTGAAGGATTTATCAGAAGGACGGACCATACGTTATTCAAAAACTACCGTTTAAAGGTTTAGTCAATGGTTATATAGGTGATTTTTTTCATTGAACAACCGTTTCTAAAGCAATTTCTGTCGGAGACGGATCGCAGACAATGTGACTGGGTGACTAGAAATATTCACAATGTTCCCTGGGAATATGGAATCATCAAATATATCTATTTGTGGATAATGGTTAGTTTGATAAGACAGAGCATTACAGCTGTGTTTAGCAAGGGGAGTGAGAAAACCGAACTTTTGAGAAGTCTCTTTCAAATTCCCTGCTATAATTTAGAATCAGTTGGTTGTTCCAGAGATAATCAACTTCATAAATGAACTCTACATTATCCAATTCATAATAATGAAATAACGTATTATTGTAGTGTTGAAAAAGTCGATGATATATCTAAATGGATTATAAATTATTTTATAGATACATGTGTAAATAAATAGATTTATATATTATTCACACAATCTCTTTAGTCATTTGTCCACCATATGACACCTAAAGTTAAAAAACACCAGGATTTAGTTCCAGCATTAAATAAGGCTACACGTAAACAACTTAAAGATATGATTGCCGAAGATAACAATTATTTTATAATTTTAAATGTTTTAAATGATAACATTCCTATGACGAGCATACAAAAGCAGAAACTGAGAGAGTTGGCTGATAAGAAAGCATCTGTGAAACAGAAAATAAACGTACTTATACAGAAAAGAAGGTTTTTACCATTACTCGTAGCACCAATACTTTCATTATTTTGTGGTTTGGCAGGATGGACTATTGGTAAAGCTGTCAATTTTTAAAATGGAACATGCAAAACGAATTATCCTTGTTCCTAAAGAATCAGTACACTTACTTTATCAACCTAAATGTTATGAAAGACCCGTTCGTAAAGTTTTGAACGCTATAGGTAAACATATGTAATCTGTCATATATAATAATATTCTCCCAGCACATGGTAAAGCAAAGATGTTAAATCAGCTACAACAACGTCATCAAACTTTTCAATCGGGCCCGGCATGGCCAGGTGGTTAGGGCACTCGACTCGCAATCCGAGGGTCGCGGGTTCGAATCCCCCTCCCACCAAACACGCTCGCCCCTACAGCCGTG